GCCCTCGGCCTGCGGCCGCGGCGCCGCGCCCGCGGCCCCGCCGCCGCCGGGCGGCCCGGCCGAGCCGCGGGCTGGAGGCACCCAGGGGGGAGCGAGCAGCGAGGGGCACCGAGGAAGAGGGAGGAAGAGGGAGGAAGAAAGGAGGAAGAAAGGAGGAAGAGAGAGGAAGAGGGAGGAAGAGGGAGGAAAAGGGAGGAAAAGGGAGGAAAAGGGAGGAAAGGGGAGGAGGAGGAGGAGGAGGAGGAGGAGGAGGAGGAGGAGGAGGAGGAGGAAGAGGCGTTGGAGGAGGAGGAGGAGGAGGAGGAGGAGGAGGAGGCAGACGAGGAGGAGGAGCAGGAGGATCGGATCGGGTCGGGGTCGGGTCGGGTCGGATCGGATCGGCTCGGCTGTCCACGGAAGTGCCCGCACGCGAGCAGTTGCGGGGGTGGGGAGCCACAGCCTGGGGCGCCGCCCGCCAAGCGGGCTCAATTTCCTCTCGGGGCCTGAGAAGGAGGGGAAGAAACACACAGACACAATTAATCGTCGACTCCCAGGAAAATATGGGAAAACATGGGAAGTGGGGGGAATACGAAAACCCAGAATAGATGGGAAAATATGGGGTGTCCGGTTATTTGTGTGTATTTATTTGTGTGTCCCAGGGCCCCTTCACTTGAACCCATGGAGACAGTACAAAAGGGAAAGAAATGAGAGAGTCCAGAGCTCTCGATCTGATTGAACACGCCGCACATCCGCCTCCACCCCCCCCCACCCATGAAGCCGCAGCACACGTCGTGCACATAGCCGACGTCGGGCATGCGGCGGCGGGCGCGGGGGGATAGGAAGGGCGAGGCAAGAGAGGAGCTGGGAAGTGACAAAATTAGCCTTCCGAAGGCTCCTCGACGCCGTCGAAGACGGCATGACATGTGAAGGTATTCCCCCACCAACGCTGATGCTAATAACCTCCACCCTCCCCCAATTACGAGTTGCGAAATGCAGCCGAGAACCATCAATGCAAGTCTGCCTGCGCTCGGGAATTCGCATCAGGAGGGGGGGCGGACGTGTCGTGTTCGTAAACAGCCCGTCTCGACAGATGGGGATTCTCTCGGCCTCGCGTTCTCTGGCTCTCTGACGGGAGAGCGCCGTAGCACGATTGGCCGAAATCCGTTGCCGAACTCCGTTGCACGATTTCCGAAGGCAACGGAGGCGGAGGTGGCGGGGGAGGTGTAAGATCAGGGGCTGACGAGCCAAATACATCGCGAGCAGTCTGCGATCCGGACACAGCAACAGAGAGAGTGCCTTCTAAATCATCCAACTCAGAGGACACAACGTGGAATATCTGGCAAGAGCAGACGGCTTAGAGCGCACACCTGTGCCAAGTTCAAAGTCTGGACCCAGATTTTGGGCCTCTGAGCAAATGGACGCTTAAGGGAGGGAGGAGGAGGGATGTCAAATCGGAGACGAGAGTATCCTGGCAAGTGCTGACGGGTTGGAACGAGCACATGAGCCTAGGACAAACTCAGATACCATACTAGGGGCGTCTGATCAAAACAAACCAAGCAGTCAATAATGTGCCAGAGTAATTTGAGAAATCACAGGTGCTGAGAGCTTGGCACGGCTAAAATTGCATGCCATTTGTTCTCAGCGTCAAAGAGCAACACATCCAACGCGGCAGAGAGGACCCACCCATCCCCCTCCAGTACTCCCACAAACATCCGTGCCCAGCGTCGAGCTGGGGAAGAGTGACGGTACGCAGCGCGACAGTACCAACTGAAGCAGGCGCGCAACGTTGCTACTCGAGGGAAAAAAGAGCGACATGTGGGGACAGAGACGCGGGGGAGTTCCACGGGGAAGAATGCGGAGATGTTGCATCTAAATGGATGCGCAGGCTTGGGCCTCCAAATTGTAAACACAGAAAGGTACAGCGTCCAAAAACGACTCCAAGTAGTGCGATCGTGTAACCGACCAAGAGGAGCCAGTTTTGAGTGAGAAGGGGGAGTCACACTGGGGAAGAGGGCACGAACCCCGTCCAAGAAATAAGATTGGGAGCCTGGCAGGAAGATGCGGCAGCTGATCTCTGTCCAAGAGAAGTGTTTAAGGCGTGCAAAAACTCGATGGCACGCCTGGCAAACCACTGGGTCCAAGAAGCCTGTTCAGCTGGCTCGGAGTTGGAAGCCCATCATGGCCTACAAAGAAGCCCTATGTCTAGTTTGCATAGCATCGCACCTCTCCGATGGTCGTCGTAAGTGCGTTTGTCGCACAGAGCGCATTGCACATCTGAGGGCTGAAATGGTAAATCAGAGTGAGGGGGCCGAACGGTCATTCATTGTCCCTGGGTGCGTGGCTGAAGTGAGGATCCGCGATGAGGATGTTGCTTGTTGCGTTGTTGTTGTTGTCGTTGTCATTGTCGTTGTCGTTGTTGTTGGTGTTGTTGGTGGTGTGGTTGTTGGTGTTGTATATGTTGTTCGTGTTGATATTGTTGTTACTAGTGTCGATGCTGATGTTGGTGTTGCCGTTATTGCTGTTGGTGTTGGTGTTGTTGTTAGTGTTGTTGTTGGTGGTGTTGGTGTTGTTGCTGTTGCTGCTGCTGTTGCTGCTGCTGTTGTTGTTGGTGTTGTTGTTGTTGCACACTCATTCTTGAAGAATAATTATTGTTGATCCCCCCCACCGGTGCACATTGAGTTTTTTTCGATTGAAGTGCCACCCCCGGGGCTCGCACCTTGTTTTTTCTCAAGGAAAGTCTTCCTGCTCAAACTGTGCCCCTGCCCCCCGGGCTACAACAACAACGGCTCCCGCCTGAGACTTCTTCGATTTTTACTCAGGACCCCCGCTCCCGCCTGAGACTTCCGCGCAATTTACTCAGGAAAGGCGCTCCCGTCTGAGACTTCCTCGCAATGTAATCAAGACCCCCGCTCCCGCCTGAGACTTCCGTGCAATTTACGTGGGAACGGCGCTCCCGCCTGAGACTTCTTCGAATTTTACTCAGGACCCCCGCTCCTGCTTGACATTTCCGCGCAATTGACTCAGGAACGGCGCTCCCGCCTGAGACTTCCTCGCAATTTAGTGAGGACCCCCGCTCCCGCCTGAGACTTCCGTGCAATTTGCTCAGGAACGGCGCTCCCGCTTGAGACTTCCTCGCAACTTAGTCAGGGCCCCCGCTTCCGCTTGAGATTTCTTCACAATGTACTCAGGACTGCGCTCTCGCGTGCGACGTCCTCACAAATTATTCTGGAATTGCGTTTCGGCGCTCAGGAACCACGCACGCGCCAAGGACGCCTTCACAACGTGGTATCTTCCCTCTTCCTTCGTCCTTCCCCCTCCCCTTCCTCCCACTCTCCCTCGTTCTTCCCCTCCTCCTCTTGCAGGGCCCGCGCCAATTCCAATGGCGGGCAGAGAGATGTACGCCCCCGAAGGATTGTCCGCCCGTTCCGGTTTGCCTGAACGTCTAAGCCCGCCGGCCCCAGCAAAGAGAAATAATCCCCCCGAAAGGGGTGTGATCGAAGACGAAGAGGGCGGGCATCGAGGGTGTAGGGTATACGTGTTGAATGACCCGCGGGCAAGTAAGAGCGCACAGCCTTTGTTGTTGTTGTTGTTGATGTTGTTGGTGTTGTTGTTGTTGTTGTTGTTGTTGTTGTTGTTGTTGTTGTTGTTGTTGTTGTTGTTGTTGTTGTTGTTGTTGTTGTTGTTGTTGTTGTTGTTGTTGTTGTTGTTGGTTGTTGTTGAATTCTCACTTCTGAAGAATAATTATTGTTGATCCCCCCCACCGGTGCATATGGTTTTTCTCGATCAAAGTGTGCCCCTCGAACCTCGCACCCTGTTTTTTGACGGGGAAAGTCTTCCTGCTCAAACTGGGCCCCTGGCCCCCGGGTTACAACAACAACGGCTCCCGCCTGAGACTTCCTCACAATTTAGCCAGGACCCCCGCTCCCGCCCGAGACTTCCTCGCATTTTATTTAGGAATCCCGCTCTCGCTTACCGTAGCCATTTTGGCTCAAGCCATTTTGGCTCAAGCTGGCTTCGGGCGCAGGGCGGGCGGCGTGCTCCCCCGCTGCGGCTCGGGCGATGGCGACGGTCCGTCCCCTCGATGGGGGAGCGGTGGCGCTGCTCGCCCCGCTCGTGAAGGCGGCTGCGGCGGGCGCAGCCGAAGGCGGTGGCGGGCGGCAGCAGGTCGCTGCCGCTGTCGCCTCGGCCCTGCGCACGGGTGCCGCGCTGCTCGCCCCGAGCCAGGCCTCCGAAGTTGAGGAGGAGGTGGCGGTGCGCGAGCAGCTTGGGAGGGCCCACCTGACGGAGATGGTCAAGGCTGGCCGCGCGGGCGTGCAGCCGCGGCCGTCGGGGGCCAGCCGCGCCTTCCGCGGCTGGGCCCAGCACGCCGAGTTCGGCGGAGGGCCCCAAGATGTGCCTGCCACGGCGCGCGAGGCCAGGCGCCGCGGGCGGGGCCATCGTCGCTGTGCTGGCGACGCCGAGTCGGTGGGGACGGCGGACACCGCGACCACTGACGACCTGGAGGCAGAGAAGGAGCGGCTCGAGGAGGGTCGGGAGGTGAAGGTCTCGTTGGAGCCGGTTGAGAAGAAGAAGGGGGAGAGGAAGAAGCTGGTCTTCCAGTGCGCCCCTGATGACAAGACCACCGACGAGGTGAAGGTGATGGTATCGGCCATGGAGGAGATGGCCCTGGTGAACACTCGGCTCAACAATGGGGAGACCAAGAACGACTCCGAAAATCTCAAGGACGTGAATGCCCCCAAGGCGATCGCCGACGGCGACGTGCACGCGGAGAGCAGCGATGTGAGCCTCACTGTGGATCCCGTCGAGGCCGCGATCCCCACGAGCGACGGCCACGCGGACTTCGGGAAGAAATACAGCACGGAGAAGCAGCTTGCCGTGCAGGCGATAATTCAGGAGGCCATGCAGAAGGCCCGCCTGGAGCACGAGATGTCGGAGTGCAAGAAGAGCACGGTCGAGTCGGAGGTCGTGGCGCTGCTGGGAGACGGGGCCACCGGGTGCGGGCCCCCCTCGTCGTCTTCGTG